GTTTTTCGCTGCACTATTGACTGCAAACCCAAAGAAATGTCTTACTGCTTGAATTGGATAGATCAGATAAATAAAAGTAAGGGTATAGAGTTAAGTAGTAATTTAATGCATACTTTTGTTATTATTATAGGAAAACGACAGCATGATGAGCTAAACAATTTACCTGATGTTCTGGAGTCAAGTGAGTTTAGCGTAATTAGTAGAGTCTATATCTTTGCACTTTGCTTAGAATACTAGATCTATCCTGTTTGACTGTACACCTATAGAATTTTATCATGAAAATTAGTATACTGTATCATGCTTTTATTTTAGATTTTGCATATCAAGTTCTTATGGAAAGCACAGAGGAGATCAAGGAATATTTTTCTGATGATTTTTCCAAAATTGCAAGCAAGCTGCTTCAGATGAATTTGATCAATGAAACAGAGAGGAGCGCTATAACTGATAGAAATACTGGGTGGAATAAGTATCAGCGAATGGAAGAATTAATGGAACGTGTTAAAGTTGCAGTTAAAATTAATAAGGAGCCTGCTTTTTTATTGTTCTTAAATATCTTAAATGAGAAAGGTACTCAACCTGCTCAGGAATTTGCTCGAAAACTCATGGAAAGATATAAAGATAAATTCTCTGATGCTCATTTGGATCCATTGTCAAAAAGAGTCAAACAGTATGAAAATTAGATGTTTTAATTTTTATTGTTGTAAAATTTCTTTTATATTGTTTATTTTCTTATCACTTTTAAAGTCAAACTTCATTTTTGAAGTACTCTAAATTTTCATAGTGTAGACGCCTGCATGCTTTATATGTACATTGTACACGAATTTCGTGAAAGGGTTAAAACGCCAGTTTGTCCAGAGCCAGCAGGAAAGTGGTGGAAGGAGCACTCACAGTATCTGAGACGACTATTGGAGATTCTCTTATCCTTCGGTTGTGGAGTATTGAATATTAATAGCTTTGGTAGCCCTTATTGGCTAGACCTGGTGAGTCACTAGAATCTGTTTTTAGAAATTCAAATGAAGACTATTTCAAATGGCTTTTTGTTACTAGGGGGAATGGTCATATGGGTCTGTGGCAGAATTGTAGCAATACAAAGTGTCAAGGTCTGTCAAACCCATCAGGTTAATGTACATGAATTGGCTAGTGGGTTGATCTACTACAGTAACTCTAGTTACATGTATATATGATTATTCTTCAATCTAAATTATAAAAATTAACAGAGACTTACAAAGATTTTAATGCCTTTAATATATTTTGCTAATGGCTGATTACTGTGTAGCTCCAAAACTTTATAGTCAAAAAATTTCATGATTTATGTGGAGTAATAGTCATGACAAACTAATGGCTACCAAAATACAGGACATTAAAAATAAAATGCTACCAATTTGTAACCTTTTTTTCGTAAACCAACTTACTCACTACTACATGTAGTTACTACTAGTGCTGATTGTTATCGTCACTTTATGTGTATCCTTTTATTTATTGTATGTACTTTACTGACTCACAGGTGCTGACCGTGCTGTTATTGGTGTAAGAGCAAATGCTGTGTATGTCATTAATGTCAGGA